TGTATGTCTAGAGTGAGTGCGAGTATTAGATCAGTGTTCAGAGCTGTAAACAGTGAGGATTTCACAAGGTGTTCACATCGTACACACACACACACAAGGAAGATGAAGAGTTCTATCTCTCTGAGCAGTGGATTGCCTTCCTCGTTCATCTAATCACCCCATCTTCTCTCCTCCTCCAAGCAATTGTTGCGCTTCACTCGCTTTTTTTTTTTTTTTTTTTTTTTTTTACAGAAAGCTGCACATATACACAAAGCTCTCACACAGACACTAAGCTCAGCAGATAAACTGGCTAACTTAGTCCACTCACTTGTAAGAACAGTAAGCAACGGAAATGACCATCATGATGCAAACAAGTCATTAAATATTCATAACATGTAGGTGTGTATCAAGACGAGACAGTGATTTTTGTCTACGTAAGCATGTTACAAATTGTGCAAAAACTGAGAAATAAAGAAGAGAGCAAAAAGAGCAGGAAGCATTAGATTAGAAATAAGTATAGGAAGGATTGCATGAGGTTGAGGCTATATTGTTTTCAAAAAGAAAAGCCCATTTTCACTGTTATTCTTAGTATGTGGATCAATATCTATGTCTGCTTATTGTCCATATAGCGGCATAAAGATCAATACACTTACTAGAGGCAATGTGTATTCCTATCTCACTCACTTCATCTCGATTTTTCCTTCTCACCGTTATTTTCACATTTATTGATATCATATACGTATCATTCATAGATCCTGTTATCCAACGCCACCAACGTTATTGTTATAGATTTACGCAGCATGACTACATGATATTTATGTCCCTGATCTGGGTTCTTCTCATGTACTATACAACCTCCAATGGAATGCAATGCAACAAAATATTCACTTCAACATTCTTCAGTCAGGTCACCTGGACAGTTTCTTTTTTTGTGTTGAAATGTTTCGCCTTCGATCTGGAAGGCTTCATCAGTCAAGGAAACACACAACAAAACTGATTGTTCCCCCAACAGCTTACTCCAAAGTGGAACAAACCAGTTCTGTTTGTGATAAGATGGTCTCTTTGGTACGCCCCCTCCTCCATTGCCGGCCCTCTTCCTTGTTGACAGTCTTGTCAAACTGGTTGAAAACAACAAAGTCCATGCTCAATAATCCAGCTATACAATCATTCAATCCAGCATGACTGGCAGCATGACTGATGAAGCCTTCCGGATCAAAGGCGAAACGTTTCAGCACAAAAAAAGAAACTGTCCAGATGACCTGACTGAAAAATGTTGGATTGTATACCTGGATTATTGAGCATGAACTTTGTTGTTATTCACTTCACTTTTTTAACCTTATTTTCAGGTAACCATGGGTCTAAGTTTTTAAGACCATTTTTGCTCATTTGCCACCATCCATCCATCCATCTATCAAAGCTGAGGCAAGCTGGTCTGAGAAGCTCAGTCCTCACCTCCTTCTACAGGTGTGCAGTGGAGAGCATCCTTTGCTCCAGCACCAACGTGTGGCATGGAGGCTGCACAGCTGCAGAAAGGAAAGCTTTGCAGAGAGTGGTGAAGGCTGCACAGAAGTCTGTTGGAGTCAGCCTCTCCACCATCACAGACATCTACACCTCCAGAT